AAAAAAAAAAAAAAAAAAAAATCACAATTGAAAGACCTTTTGTTTGATTAAGTGAGCTCGTGGTTGATAACCAAGCAAATCTGCGGTGGTGGAATTTTATTAATCGCTTCTGATCAAAGAAACAGATTTTAAAAAAATTGTTTCTAAAATATTGTACTTCTTGATATTTACAGGTGATCACAAAGTACAGAACGTGTGTTGCATTATTCAATAATTTTAGAGCCAATTCATACCAAGGCAGCGCCCAAGCACAGATTTTGCACATTTATCGCAATGCTAATGCGTGAAGCACCACTCAACTGATAATGAATTGCTGATTTGCAGTCTCTCATACCTAGTAGTGATGGGCTGGGCTCTGGCATGTTCGCAGCTCCACTTGCTGAGCCCCCCAGGAAGCTGACAGCGCCAATCACAGGTACTGAGACATATCCCGATCTCTGCAGCTGCGGACCGGGATAATGTCTCAGTACCTGTGATTGGGGCTGCGGCGCTGTCAGCTTCCTGGCGGGCTCGGCACGTGGAGCTGCGAACATGCCCGAGCCCATCACTAATGCCTAGATCAATCACAAACTGCTATTATAGTGGTGAAACACATAGCAAGAACTACAAGGTGCAACTACTATACTTAGAAGGATTCCGTTCCGTTAGGTCTTGACCTAACTTCGGAGCTAGGTCACACCCACACACTGGTATTTTGTCCCATAAGAGTGCTTAAGCAGCCACAAAAAAGCAGGCTCACTAGCCAGGTGGGCATGACTTGGCTCTCCATGGTAGCGCCTAAAAAAACAAACCATTGCCTTCCTAACTTCCAAGCATCCAAAAAAAGGAGCACAGAAGAGGCTTATTATAACTAAGCAAGGAAAGTGTGTGCTATTGGAGGGACCTGCTCTTGGGCAAGAGTTTATACATTTTCAATTTTTTTTTTCAATGGCTGACAGGTTATGGTTATGTCCAAAATGAATTGCTTCAGGAACTTAAGTGTGCAAAAGTTCACTGACCATTACCAGACAAGCTATGCAGCATCAGAGAGGAAACTGCAGTCAAGGTATAAAACAAAAGGTGTTGCAGTCTATAAAGTCATATTTGCAGCTCTAACTAGAATTAGAATAAAGTGAAGCGGTGTACTTTAAAAATGTGCTTAGCGTGACACTCGCTTTGAAGTGAAGTGGAGCACTCTACAAATAGACTTAACCAGTTGACATCCGCGGTGTTAAACCCCCTTCCCATCCAGGCCATTTTTCAGTATTCAGCGCTGCGGTACTTTGACTGACATTTATTCCGTCATGCAGCGCTGTACTGAAATGAATTTTATACCCTTTTTTGGGGACAGATAGAGCTTTCTTTTGGTGGTATTTATTCACCACTGGGGGTTTTATTTTTTTACTATATTAAGGAAAAATTACCGAAATTTAAAAAAAAAAAACAGTTTCCCCTATATTAAATGATAAAACATTTATTATTACCCAATTTTTTGGTAAAATATAAAAGATGGGGTCACGTCGGGTAAAAAGACACTAAACATGTCAAGCCTTAAAATTGCGTGCGCGCGCGAAACCTCAAAAAACGATAATACCCAAAATTGGCCATAGGCGACGCTTTAAAAGCTGTTACCGCTCATCAGTTTAGTGTTATCAGTGATTGATGGCCCTAAAATGATTGCTCTCACTGCGACGTTCGCGGCGATATGTAACATGTGTAGCGCAATTGTAATTTTTGCGCGCTGGGGCACCGGGCGCGTATTTACGTTTATAGGCGCGTAAACGTGGGGGTGGGGGAGTTAAACATTTTGGGGGGGTTTTTTCCCTTTTTTTTATATGTGGATTTTATTTTATTTTTTTATGTGTTACTTTTCTTTTTTTTTATTTATATATTTTTTTTTGCACTTATTGTTATTGCTATTATATAGGGGGATAACAACCCCCTATATAATAGCAAAGGCACACTGACAGGTCCTCTTTATGGAGATATTAGGGGTCTCTAGGACCCCTAAAAAAACCGGAAGCGCCAACCGGGCGCGGGGGGGTTTGCCGCGAACGAGCACATATCGGCGATCGGCGGGCTATGGACCCGCTGATCGCCTATATGTGAAACACCCGGTACCGGGTGTTCGCATTGGACGGGTCTTTTCTGCCCGTGCGTGCCCGCCAGGGGGCGCGCGCGAGCAGAAAAAAATTGCCGCCTGGAGACGGCAACCCGCAGATGCGGAGAACTATGAGGCGAGTGCTTTTCACTCACCTCATAGTTCTAGGCGACCTGTGACAATGAGACTGTCACAGGTCGGCTCAGTAGATCGGGAGGTGAGCAAACACATACCGGCGTTCGCTCACCTCTCGATCCTGTCACGGCTCTCTGCCTGGCGGAACGGACGGGGGAGCTGACTGGCGGAACGGACGGGGGAGGGTCCGCCTCTAGATAGGCTCTGATAGATAGGCAGAGCCAGCTGTCAGTCACGCAGCTGGGCGGATCCCGGCACAATTGTCGGGATCTGCTTCAGCTGCGGCGTCTCAGTATACCACGAGCAGCAGCTCGCGGTATACTGTGGCGTCTCAGTATACCACGAGCTGTAGCTCGCGGTATACTGAGCCTAGGGTGACGGGAGGACGCTAGTTTGTGTCCTCCCGTTACCCTAAGGAGAACTATGGGGAAAAGCTCTAACCCCATAGTTCTCCTTTAATTAAAAAAAAAAATAGGATTTTTGACTGATCAGTAAAATCCATTTCTGAGAGTACAGTATAAGATACACGCAGATTGAGGAGGATTGGATAATATGCAGGTGTCACCAGGCGAACACTGGCCAGAACTGTGAAGACCCCGATAAAACCCCTCCTACCCCCAAAAATCCTCAGATTTTTAGCAGCAATAGAGGACATGCAGGGAACTGCCCTGTGTCCTGTACTGCAAGAAACATATTTTACTGGCAAGTCAAAAATCTTATTAACTTGATCGTACCGTACAGGGCATGGTCAGATTCAGAGATGTCTGGGATATCCGAGAGCAAAAATAACTACTGAGGGGTGGGCAACACAAACAAAGCAAAAAGAGGAAAAGTCCAATTAAAAAAGTAGCCCGTAGCACCGCAAGACCAAAACTAGAAACAGCAGATGGCCAAACATCCACCTAGTAAAATTTGCCAACAGGAAACCGGGTGGCAGCCTTAAAAATCTGCAGAACAGATGCGTCATGCTGAAAAACTCAAGTCTTCTGAAGATTAAGGATCCGCCCCAAAATGCTGCAGCATCTGAACTGTTCTCTAAACATGGGCTGACAGTGTCTGCTAGGAACGGTCTTTTAGCAGTAGGCGACGGACCCCCCTCAGGAAGTACAGGTTTCGTAGAAAACAGGTCCAAGCGAGAAAGACTAGCAATGAAATGTCACGCTT